CCCCAAAACCCCAAAACCCCAAAACCCCAAAACCCCTTACAGTTTGAAGAAGCCTGAAGATAAAATATTTAAATTCCGAGTAAAAAGATGTAAGCAGACTTTTGAGGGAAACCCAGTTTAATAAGAAATAATAGAGTTTTGAATGAATTTATTAACTTTGATGGAGGATTTTATACCCTCAGGTTTTCGGATTCATGAATTTTGATATGTTTGAGTTTCATTTTGAAATATTTTGAGTGAATGCGGAAAATCTCATGGCCGGTAATATTTAAAATAGATGAACACCAGCATTAGGATAAGGTCAGCGAAGCCAAAGATAAAATCTCCGTTTATAAAAAACCAAGGAGCATTTCCTAAAGATTTCTTCACAAATAAAGACTTGAGCTTAAAAAGACAATGTAGCAAAAACTCAATAATAAACACAACTCTTGACAACAAGATCCAGTCTTTGAATAATACTGTCATCAGTAGTAGTGAGAAGGGTAAGGATAGCACCAAACAATCACTGGGAAATATATTGGAATTGCTGACTTATTATAGACGTCAAGAGAAACTCCTCTCAAGGCTTCACACGGGTATTTCCCTCTAAGAATCGGAAATACAGAAAAGCAACCAATTCTTGTTCTGAGAACAGAAAACCCCCGATTAGGATAAGCAAGTTAGTGAACCTTGACATCCTGAAGAAACAAGGTGGGGATGCTACAGAGCAAGAGAGACACATGCTGGAAATCAGCAGTAAGACCAAAAGTGTTCTGCAGCTATCCAGGAACAACTCTGGGCTCAATTGAAACTATAATAAGGATGGTATAATTCCTATTGGGTCCGGCCGGTCCTCTCATTTCAATAATACCCAAGAGGTTTCTACATCTGCCCTTGCTCTAGGTGATGGCCTTGAAGAAGATAGTGTAGAGATTAGGAGACCTGTCATTAAATCAAAGTATCAAAACTATCTGAGGAACAGCAGCAATAAGTCCTTACTCTCCCACGGAAACAGTAGAGGTATAAACATCAGTGAATTAGCCAAACAGAGGCTCAAAATGTGCAAGAACTCTGATTTTAAGATCCCAAATCAAAGATGTAGTCAGCTTAAAAGTGCTTATAGGCAGAAGCCTCAGATTAAGAAGTACTCAAGTATCTACAAAACTGTGAATGGAGATTCTAGAGGGAATAACACAAGCATGTCCATTCATCATTATGATACCAACAAAAGTGTTTTACAAGCAAATCAAATTGCTTACAAAAACTTTAGAAAGAAGATGCTTAAGATCAAAAGCTCACAGAAATTAGCACCGAAAAGAAAAACCTCTAAAAGATTGGTAAAGTTGAAGAAGCTCGAGAAGACTCAGGACCAGCCTCTTGGCATCAGTGTCAAGAGACTCAACCCCAGCTCTACAATGGGGGGAAATTGTAGGAAGCAGAACTATCATAGCAATAATTTGGCAAACCAGACGATAGAATACCATGAAAAGACAATGATTGAAGAGTATACCAATGCCAGCATCCCTGAATTTACTCTTGGTCCAACCTCTTTCAGCAAGAATGAGAGGCCTAAGCCTCTCTCAGTCAACAGAATGGGGTTCTACGAAGACTGTAAAGATCTGGAGGCCAAACTTTCGCCAATAAAGCAATGTCAAGAAGTTGTGAAAGACAATATTTTAAATTTAAATCTTGAAAAAGTTCGGAAACTTCCTGACGGAAGTTTGCCGGACAATAAAGATTCTGAGGAAAATGGATTCTATGATAACACAGGTTTGCTTTCCAGTCCTTCCACAGGCAAACATGACAGCACAAAGAAGTATATAGAATTAGTAGACAGTTTCCGGACAGGAGGCAGAAATATTGAATTCGAAACTCCAAGCTTTAAAATTCAAACCGAAGAGACAGGAGGGAAATAAAGAAAATATGAAGTTAGAAGATGTTCTCAAAAAAATCAAAAATACTCAGAGGAGCTATACCCTCCTAAACAGCTTATGTAGGAACTCTAGTGAAATGCAGACTCAGAGAAAATCTTCTGCTACTCGTGCAGAAACTGATGCAATCGACTCTTTTAGGCCAAAATCCCGCCGACTGAAGAACTCTCACATGAACTTGAAAAAGTATCACCAAGAGGAATCAGCAAAAGAGATATGTATCCCAGACAATATAGCAAGGCTTGAAGGTAGAAATGGTAGTCTTGGATTCAACTAATCCATATATTTCCTCCTAGAAATGCTAGTTTCTTCTTGTCCAATCTCGATCACCTCCCTCCTCAAGGTTTGGTCAAACTTGTTCAGCTCAGGAACAGAAGTTGTAAGCTCCACCACGCAGAACACGAAAGAGGTGATGCTAGCATTGTAGATGACCTTTATTCATAAAATCCATTGAAATCCTAGTGTCAACAATATAAGAAATTCTCGGGGTTTTGGGGTTTTGGGGTTTTGGGGTTTTGGGG